AAAAATTACATATTATCTGAGCTTCTTCACTCACACAATGTGTAGTTAAAAATGATATTTGTAAATTCAATAACCTCTGAACTTTGTTATAAAATTCAAAGGGGGTTTCATTGTTCTGTTTCAATTCACACAATTCTATATTTAGAGTAAATACGTCACGCTTGTCTTGATATGTATTTAAAAGTGCAGTTTTCAAGTCTGTCCAATTTTTTATAATATTGCTACTAATATTTAAAGCTGCATTACCTTTGATTTTCGCTAAAATACTACTCATAAGATATTCGTTCTGGAAGTCATTTTCATCCTCTAATCTATAAAATTTATTCACTAACTTTTCGCAAATATCTATGAATCTTGGTAATAATTCTTGTTGACCATAAAATTCGGGTATCATGTTAAGATACTCTGGGCGTAATGACATGCTTGATTGATTTACTTGACTGTTGTTCATATTGACTGTACTATTTAGTATACTAGGTCTTAATTGCAAATTCCTTAAACTATGTTGGATATGTTCCGTATCCGACTGTGAGTCCGAATCAGTGTCACTCAATATATCATCAAACAGCTTTTGATTGTTTTCACCCCTGTAAGGCATTCGTACTTACAGTAGTAATCCAATCCGTCCCATGTGTCCGTATGCCTGGGCCACTGCTGGGTTGCCTGTCCTGGAGCAGATGTTCCTTCTGTCCTCTGGGCTGCTGTCGTCTTGGTTTCTCGATTTGGGTAGGGTTCTATCCCAAATCTGGTTCCGGTGATCACGGTAACGATATCGATATTCCGTCGGATCGTTCGCGACCAATCGCGGTTGGTTTCGTTATAGCCAGTAAACCGTTGAAACGAACCGAAAATGTCCTTTTTTCGTCTGGCTATCCTACTGGATTGACTGCGCCACTCAAATATCTTTCTTCAACGAAAACGTTTTTAAAAAGATTTATTTTTGAGAAAGACCAAATACAATGATGTTAATTGAATGAGTTCTGAATCGAGACTGACTGCAAAGTTCATTATACAAACCAAAGTAAAGAACAAATGAAATACAATACTGTAACTGATAAGAAAGGCACGTGGAGGCAAAAGTCCTTGTTCAGCATATTCTTCTCTGTAGACTGGTACATAACTTGTATAATATCCAGTATGATTCCATTCTAATCGCGGAGACGGATTGGTATGTGAGATGTGGTTGGGAGATCGCTATCTTTGTGGAGCTGGAGGACCTGCAGATTTGTACGCTCCGTGGAGCAATATGTCGTTTCGCTGCAACGAATCGTCGCAAAACGTGCATACGAGACGTGGAGGTGGGGCAACCAGATGGGCTGTGGTCGCCAGATGGCTGGGGAGGTGCAGTAATTGTTTGTTAAAGAGTTGTCCGCCTTGCCAAATCTTTTGACGTATCTCGCCGTATTTTCTTTTAATCAGTGGCTTATTAAATTCGTGATGGGAATAGAATAGAAATGTTTAAAAGCAGACTGTTTCGACTTAGGCAGCATTGGACAACTTATGAGGATTTAGGATAAAAAATAAAAATTTGCTAAATGTAGAGGTTCTATCTGGCGTCTCAAGTGTGATCGTTCGGTCCGCGGTCGAGGAACAATTTCACCTCCGATCGTACCTTAAAGTTTTCAAAGTTCCGAGAAGAGCAACGGTATCCGCGTCTCCGTGTGTCTCCGAGACACTTTTCTCTCGCCAACTTTAACACAATACAATTAACTGTTAGCGAAGGATACCGAGAAGAATGCCCCGATCGAGGCATAAATTAACGCTAAAAATTCAAGAAAGTTAATTTACAAGTTAATTATTGTTGTAATTGGTGTGATCGCGCAATTCGCAGTGCATTAAAAATGATTCGCAGTTGGTGCACGTCCACTTGCAGTCGCATATTTGCCGTTCGAAGGAAGGAAAATATTTTTATTGCGGCGACCTCCGCGGAGTTCCACGTCCATTCATAATTGCCATTTTTTGTGCAAACTTAAATTGCTTTAAATAAGCGCCTGGCTTCGCAAGTAACAATGCTCGGGTTTTTATTTGCGCTTAAACGAAACGCAGTCAGACCTATTTTACTTGATAATGATCGACGACGTCGCGGAGTACTGCAAGGATCAGTTCGAGGGCCACTTTTATATGTATTATCTATGTGCGCTGACACACACCCCAAAACATGATATTTGAGAATTTATTTGAGGGCTAATTGAAATTTTAGTTCCAATACAATGTTTTTGGTTTCTTTAAATATTTATAGGAAGATAAAAAAACCGAGGCGGCTATTTTTGAAGTATTTTTATTTTCGAAATTGTCTTCTTTGCAAAGGATTTGTGTATAGGTGATGGAGGTTAAATGATCTGTTTATTCGATTCGATAAAATAAAGGTAGTCTTTGTTAGACAAATGATAACATTTCGCGTTGCTAAGAAGCTGATGTTTGGCGTTTAAGTCAACTTTCAATGCATTGGTGATGTTAACAATTAAAAAAAGCTGTTTCTGACGAAATAAGCAAAGTGATCATTCACTTGCATTTAAAAGGCCAAATTGCTTCCCAAATCGCTGACACTGCTAACAAAAACAAGATGGTGCCGCTTGCCATATCGCCAAAAAAGTAAAAATATACTTCAGTTTTGAAATGGACGTCGAGTAGTCCAGATCCATCGCCGATTGAAACCTTGTGGTCAAGACGGATCGAAGCAGTAGTGATTTGCTACTATTTGGTTTCGTCGATTTTTATTAATCAGCAGTTTTTTTGAATTCATAAGATATTTCTTGTTTGCTGCAAAAAAATGTAGTAACATTAAATAAAAATATCGTACGTTATCATAAATACATTTTAGTTTTTAAGAGACGTGGTGCTTACATTCTGTCACTAGATAGATTATATGAAAACTAAATTTCGCCAAAAAAGGTTGTAAAGTTTTAGAAAATACTCCAAATTTACTTTACTTTACTTATACAAAGTGACATATAAATCCGAACACCCAGTTTAAATGGTTTTATTTTAATAAAATTTTGTATAAGTACTTAATGAAGCATAATACGTAAATGATAAAAGTTTCAAAATGATTGCACTGCTTTAAAGCCCTTTGACCTTTAATAATGTGTGGATGCACCCTGATGTGCTACGCATTCTCCAACACGCCTAGGTATGCTTCTGATCAGGTGGTCAATGTCCTCCTGTGGTATCTCATTCCAGGCAACCACCAACTCTTGTCGAAGTGCTTCTAGAGTCTGAGGAGGACGTTGCAAATTGAGCAATCTCCTACCCATCATATCCCACACGTGCTCAATTGGGGATAAGTCGGGAGATCTTGGTGGCCATGGTAACAATGTGACATCATTATGTTGAAAGAAGTCTATTGTGACTCTTGCAACATGTGGTCGGGCATTATCTTGTTGGAAAGTTGGATCTGCCAGGGTGTCAAGATAGGGTAAAAGATGGGGTTCTAGAACTTCGTGGATATAACGCTGCGCGTTCATGTTACCTCTGATGAAGATTAAAGGTGACCTGGAACCATAAGCTATAGCACCCCAAACCATAACTTCAACAGTGTGATGAACATGTCTTTCAACAAAAAACTGTGGATTCCTCCTTTCACCACGTCGCCTTCTAACCCTGGCACGACTATCGTGCATGCCTAAACAAAATCGAGACTCGTCACTAAAGACAATACTGTTCCATTCCTGATCCCAGAGTGACCGTTGTCTGCACCACTCAAGGCGATTACGTCGGTGTTCTCGAGTTAAAGGGAGGACGCAGTGTGGCCGGTATGAAAACAAGCCAAAACTTCTCATTCGTCGGTAAACACTTCGCATGCCAATAGGTCTTCCGTGTTCTGCAAACCATTCATTTGCAACGGACCTGGTAGTGGAGAAACGGTGCCTTAAGGCCAATAATCTTAGGCGGCGATCTTCACGGTCTGTTGTTCTACGGCGGCGTCCAGTGCCCCTTGCTCTTTGCGTACGGCCTTCTCGAAGCCATGCCTGACAACACCTAACCACAGTGTCTACACTTCTTTGCACTCTAACTGAAATTGCCCGAAAAGAAAGTCCAGCTTCCCGAAGTCCCACTATACCCCTATCAAACTCACTAAGATGACGAAATCGTACAGGTCTCCGTACTCTAGGCATCGTAACCGATCGTAAAGGATGTCAAGAACCAAAATCCGCCAACGTTGATTCTTTACTGCGGCTGAAATATTCATTTTTAGAGCGTTAGCGAATTAAAAAAAAGCAGTATAAAAACCGGAATGTCCAACTGATAAGGCTGAAAATTTTTTCACTTGTTATTTACAGTAAGATAAATACATTCAACAACTTTTATTAAAATAAAACCATTTAAACTGGGTGTTCGGATTTATATGTCACTTAGTATATAATGGCATATATCTAATTCACTATCACCCCTATTACTGGATTAACTAATCATTTTCTGTTTTTGATTATTGAGGTCATCGAACAAGGAGGAACAATTATCAAAATTGACGAGAATTTTTTTTGGAAATACCCAAATTTTTATGAACATTTATAATTGCCATGTATTCATACCTCGGATTTGTATCTGCGCTACTTCATACAGATCGCTAACATTATGGAGTGCTACAAGGATCAGTTCTGGGGCCGCTTCTGTATGATCGATGCATTTATTATTATAATATCATAAACACAAATCTATGAACCTTTTTCGCTACTACTAATAATTGAATATTGTATTTTGCCATCGAGGTTAATGATATTTTATATTCCACAATTAACCAGTTTTTAGTTTGCCACGTATTTTTTTACAACCAGGAATCGCTCTAAATTAACGCTTCGTTTCTCGAGTTACAAAGCTCGAGCTTTTTTTGCAATCACCGACATCATGGGGCACTCCAAGGATCAGTTCTAGGACCACTTCGATCTCGCCTATAGGTAATGACATAGACCAAATCCATTAACGGCTAGTCAGTGGATTTTTTATTATTGAGGTTATTATCAAGATTGGCGACGTAGTTTTATTTATTCTACTCATTGCAGGAAGCTGATTTAGATAAGTGATCATTCCTTTCAGCCCACAATGGGAAACGATTTTGTCTTCAACACTGTTTTTGTAGAAGTGTAGCTTTTGTAATTTGATTCTCGACGACAAACTCTTCTAGGCATAATATCTTGTGTGAATTGATTATAACATATTTAAACAATTTTATATCTCGATGATCCTTTGCAGGTAGTCAGAACAGCTACAAACAGCATACCATCTTCTTCTTAATCCGTAAATACCTCAAGAATCCAACAAAGCGTCCTTCAATGTCCGTCTAACTTTGAAAACAACGACCCGGTCGCTAGGTCCTTTTCATGTTCTGTTCACTTCAAACCTAATAGGCGGCCCCGAACGCCGCACAAATAAAAAAGGGGAAAATATAATTTTAATTCCTAATTGTTGACCGTGACGCAGCGCGTTTCTTTATGGTGAGCTACTTGACTGTCAGTCAGGAAATTCGGTGCCGCTTGCAGTGTCATCCAATTGGCTATTCGTCTACGAATGGAATGAGCCGCGGTTTGTTTTTTTTGACTTGCAAATCTGCGTTTGCAATTAAGGCAGTCGCTGTGGTGCTTACTCCCTAGTGATAGAGGTTGTCCCGTAAATAACGCAAGATTTTAATGAAAAAAGAACAATTTGACGGCTGAGATGTTAGGGTCAGTAGAAATGGATATACGATACAACTTGTTTTCAATATTGAACATTATTTCAAAAATAGTGAAGTTTCAAGAAGCTCCCTACGGCGTATACTCGCAAAGGATCTGAGTTTCCATGCTTACAAAATTCAATTAACAGAACAACTGAAGCCTAATGACCATGGACAGCGAAAACAGTTCGTGGAATTGCCGTATTTGGAGTTCGGAGAGCCCACTTCTGATTGTCACACCTTTTTCAAAATGAGGCTGGTGAAGGAGTAACTGTTGCTGGTGCTCGATATCGCGACATGACACAATTCCTTCAGCTAAAATTGGATGCTTTGTGGTTTCAACAACAGTGCCACATGCCATATAACCAGTGAAACAGTTCAATTACTGCACGAGACATTTCCTGGTCGTGTGCTTTCCCGTTTCGGTGGCCTTGGCAGTCAAGAGCAATAACGTTCGCCTCACTATCTATTGCGCCTGGACTATTGAATTAGTTAGGAAACTTGATTTGTACAAATATGTGGGGAGCGAGAAACTTTGCCCAAACATGGGCCGATATCAAAAACGGGAGTATTACGAAATAAAATCTGATAAGGATGGTTTATTTCATTGAAGAGAGCTCCTGTTGACATTTGCTTTTGTTGGTAATGCTGATAATGTATCGGAAGATTGTATACATGGGAAAGAAAGATGGTCCTGTTCTGACAGGCAACCGGTTAGTTTCAGTGTTGTTTCCGCGGATAAATCCTACTATAACTTTATCAATTCCAATTTGAAAATGATCGCGTCATTTATTTTAACAGCGTGTAGAACTCGTGAAAAGAAGCTGATTTACCAAAAATCAAAATAGAAAAATTATTTCAAAAAAAGTTAAATGGGTACCGCGTTTGTTCGATCAAAGCATTTTTCCATAGAAAAAATCGCTAGGCGTCAAATCCGGAGAGCGAGCAGGCCAAGAATATCCATCTATTCGGAAACTCATTATTTAGCTATTCATGAACTTGTCGTCTAAAATGTCGTGGCAAGAATCTCATGCCTATGAAAACTGAAAGACGTTCGGATTGCAGAGATGTTCGCCAGGTACAGTGCTAATGCGCAGCTAGTAGTACCAAGTAGTACGCCATACTGTTACGCAAACCAGTCATCATCTGATTCACCTCTGATCTGCGAAGTATGTGGGAGTGGCGATGGTACCACAGTACATTCTCTATCGCTACCGCCGATGCCAATGGTTCTTGCTGTTTCAAAACTAGGTGGATCGGTTTTACATATCTTCCGTCGCCGCCGTTGTTCCAACCCACCGCCAGTGCCCACTCTGTTCGCCATCCGACAACGCCGTCGAAAACGACGTCATGAATCGCGCAATACGATATTTCTAACATTGTTCGGTGTCGCAGAGACCGAGCCTGGTCTATACTGATGAGTTGCCAAAAAGCACGAAACAGATATCCTGTGTGTGGTTGAACGGACCTTCGACTGTATCAGTCATGACGTACTAAAATGTGGGCATTGCGTTGGTTTCTTTTTTAGATTGAAGTATCGCTCGATCCCCCTTTCCATTTAAGATTTTAGGGTTGGTGTCACCCCCTGTTTCGTTTTCGATGCGCCACCCTGTATATTAGCCCATCTGTGAATAAAATACTACTTACAGAATAACTCGCAATATGTGGCAATATCGCACAAAAGCGCTGGTCAACTGAAGCAGGTCAAATCGGGTATCGTTGTACCACAAGGATCTATATGGGGACCAGTACTGTTTTCCCTTTATATAAGTAACCTGGAGCAATGTTTTCTCGGAGCACACCTCACGTCTCCAGCTTTATATCTAATAAAGACGAGCTGGATTTGATGAATAAGTACAACGACTTAGAGTACAGCAGCTATAAGGATCGAAAACCTTCAGAAGTCGATACCAGCGCTGCAGCTTGTGTGAAGGACAAATTATACTAGCATAAAAAGATAAAGATATTTTGATGTTCAACATTTTTCAACGCACAACAGATTGGAGCTTCCAAAACCTCTCCGATTTTGCCGTAAAGAAGTGTTCAATGATACACCGCAAATACTTTGTTTCCATGTCCATTTTACGAGACACAATTTTTTTCTTAGTACTTGTCAACAAAGCTTCTTGAGAATCTTATCGTTTCATTCTTGATGTAAGACTAGTTCATCGCCAAAAAATCAAGTTGAAAAAAGTATTTTTTCTCGGTGTAATGTCACCGAGTATATTATACTAAGTGACATATAAATCCGAACACAGAGTTTAAATGGTTTTATTTTAATAAAATTTTGTATAAGTACTTAATGAAGCATAATAAGTAAATGATAAAAATTTCAAAATGATTGCACTGCTTTAAAGCCCTTCGACCTTTAATAATGTGTGGATGCACCCCGATGTGCTACGCATTCTCCAACGCGCCTAGGCATGCTTCTGATCAGGTGGTCAATGTTCTCCTGTGGTAACCACCAACTCCTTTCGAAGTGCTTCTAGAGTCTGAGGAGGACGTTGCAAATTGAGCAATCTCCTACCCATCATATCCCACACGTGCTCAATTGGGGATAAGTCGGGAGATCTTGGTGGCCATGGTAACAATGTGACATCATTATGTTGAAAGAAGTCTATTGTGACTCTTGCAACATGTGGTCGGGCATTATCTTGCTGGAAAGTTGGATCTGCCAGGGTGTCAAGATAGGGTAAAAGATGGGGTTCTAGAACTTCGTGGATATAACGCTGCGCGTTCATGTTACCTCTGATGAAGATTAAAGGTGACCTGGAACCATAAGCTATAGCACCCCAAACCATAACTCCAACAGTGTCATGAACATGTTTTTCAACAAAAAACTGTGGATTCCTCCTTTCACCACGTCGCCTTCTAACCCTGGCACGACCATCGTGCATGCCTAAACAAAATCGAGACTCGTCACTAAAGACAATACTGTTCCATTCCTGATCCCAGAGTGACCGTTGTCTGCACCACTCAAGGCGATTACGTCGGTGTGCTCGAGTTAAAGGGAGGACCCAGTGTGGCCGGTATGAAAACAAGCCAAAACTTCTCATTCGTCGGTAAACACTTCGCATGCCAATAGGTCTTCCGTGTTCTGCAAACCATTTATTTGCAATGGACCTGGTAGTGGAGAAACGGTCCCTTAAGGCCAATAATCTTAGGCGGCGATCTTCACGGTCTGTTGTTCTACGGCGGCGTCCAGTGCCCCTTGCTCTTTGCGTACGGCCTTCTCGAAGCCATGCCTGACAACACCTAACCACAGTGTCTACACAAAATAAAACCATTTAAACTGGGTGTTCGGATTTATATTTCACTTAGTAAGTAGTAGTAAAGGGTTTCGTTCATTGTCAAACTTCCCTATTGTTTTTATCAAGTTTTCTCATAGTTCGATCCACGTGACATCAGTGCGGAAGCGCCGTCCGTGGCTGTTCGGTATATATTTTTGACACGGAATGACTGCGAATTTCTCTGAGCGAGTGTCCTGTGGAACCAAAATGTCTCGGTGTACACCTTGCACATACGTCTTAATTCTGGCCCGCCAAATACGGACTATTTACGGCGTTCTAATCCGTCAACAGCAATGGACCAATAAAAATCGGTGCAGCGCCGTATCGCGAGGAAAAACGGTAACCGTAAAAGGCGGATCTGTGTGAAAGTATGAAACATTGCGGCATGTTTCACGAGATTTTATCTGCTGGTATACGTGAAGTAATTGGTCTATACAAAAAGGGATACACCCGTTATTTACGCGCATTTTGAGCGGCGAATTTATGAGCGAGCGTCCAATTTCATATCGACCGGTGTGTAAGACAAAAGGATACGTTAAAGTAGAAGAGAAAGACCGGCTAAACGAAGTCAGTCACACTGACGCCTCCAAGTACCGTACCCTCGGAATACCATATCCTCTAATATTTCGAAGAACGAGAATGCTGGCCCAGGTTTCGGGTTCGAGACCTTTGCGCCACAGCTAAAGATTGAAGTCCTTATGCATCACCACATTCCCGAAGCCTCAATCCCAGTCCTTCTGACGAAGTTGACGATTGCCCCGAGTTCCAGCTCTTTAACAGCCAGTCTCCAGATGCTAGCGATTTATGCACCTCTCAATAACAGAAAGCAGAGCTACAGGGTTTGTCCGGAACGTAATAGGACTGAGTCGATTTAAAAAAATTTATTGAGCCAATCGTTACAATTCTTTAAAAAGTTTCAAAATAGGCTCCTTCTGCGTCGATGTTGTAAGGGTCGGTCGTAGATCCCTTTTTTGGGATGGGCTGGACGTGGACGGGCTGCCAGCTTTCCGGGAAGGTATTGTCGCTAAAGCTAGTTGTTCCGCGATGAAAAGAATAAACTGCAATCTTTCAGTGCGCATTG